TTATCAATGATAGTACATCTTATATTTTTTAATCCATATGTTTTTTTCGCTTTCTAACATTATATAAAATTCTATTTAATTTTCTTTAAAATTAACTTGAAGAAATTAACACTTATTCGTTTGTTTTCATAATTTTTGTTAATTTATCTATTAATTCCTGAAAAAACAGGACAAAAAATCTAAATCCTGGACAAATATTGCTTTTAGAAACACCCTAAATACAAGGTGTAAATCCGGAACTGTTCCCCCAAATCAGGAATTATGGCCACATTAATTATATCGACAATTGGCGAAAATAATAGAAAATATAAATATTTGCCACGCCGAAACAAAAATAAATTTAAAAAATTTTTCAATTACAACTTTAAAAATAATAATACGCCATAAAATTTAAAGTTTTTATTGAACTTTGATCACTTGATTTTACGTTATCTTCATTTTAAAATCATTATAATTTCTAGATGCTTCCGAACAAAAAACGTTTACAAGTATTAACTGTTATAAGTGACAATAGTACTCAAATAGATAATTATCTATATTATTAATTTGGTTTGTAAAATACATAATCACAAATCTAAATATATGGATCAATCATATTCATTGTTATAGTAATATTATCAATAAATTTTATACATGATTCTAAATAACATAATGTTATTAACAAGTTATGAATTAGAAAACTATATTATATTACTGTATAAAGCCGATTGGCATATAAATATAATAAATAAATAAATAATGCATTGCCACGAATTATTAAAATGAGAAAAAAATACTACTATTCTGTAATTAATGTTTGGTAGTCCTATACTAGTATAGATAACATTGGAAAAAAAGGAAGAAAAATCATAATCAAATAATAATAAAGGGAAAAAAGAAGAAAAATAAACGGATTAATTATGATGATCAAATAATATTCTGAATAAATATTTCTTCTACATATTGTGTGTAATATTTGATACAACAATTGGTTTAATTTAAGCTACCTTGTTTAAATGATAAAAATAAAATTTTTAGTATATGTTATTAAAAAGTATATCTTTTTAATTGATTTTTACTATATTTGCTACATATTTGTTTCTATGGGGATAAAACCCAAATAGGGTAAAAATGTAATTTTTGAGTATATATTATTAAAAAGAATATATTTTTAATTGATTTTCACTGTATTTGATATATAGTTGTTGCTATGTGAATAATCTTTCTTTGCCATGAGGTAATATCAACTTAGACAAAAATATTTTGAAGTAATGAATAAAAATGTTAAGTGATACGATAAATGATAACTTGGCGCCGGCAAATAAAAAGCAAAATGGTAGATAAATGTATCAAACGTATCGCATCACAAAATAATAATACCTTGTTCTCTTCAAAGATAAAAAAGGCCTAATATATAAACTCACAATAAAATATTTATAACGAAATTGGCTCTCAAAAAAACATTTCACAAAACTCAGTATTAAAAACAATAAAATAAAATGTCGGTTTTTTAAGATCTCTTGTATAAAAATATAAAGAACGAAAAAAAACAGAAAATCAATAAATGTAGCAAACAGTTCAAATTTGTAAAGAATTTTCATCTGAGATAAAAAAAGCTTTAAATTTTAATTTTAATTAACTTTAAAGTTCAAACTTGAAATTCATGTTACATAATTGGTATTGCTAAATATCACTAACTTTACTATCTGATGCAACTCACAATCTTACAAATAAACTTCTAAATATTCACATCTATTAATTATATTAATTTATAAAAATGTTTTATTAATATAGATATTTTTACTAACGATCACTATACACTAACTTGTAATAGTACTGAAACACTATCCTCGTATATTTTCAAATACTAAAAAATGAGTATAATGCCACAATAAAATATAATATCTTTTTTTTTTAACATCAATTGTATAAAAATAAAAAGATCGAGTAAAAACCAAGTCAGTGATTGTAGTTAAAAATACGTGAAAAAAATCAAACTTGAAAATTACGTGCTTTTATTTGATTGAGCATGTAGCTACATTTTATTGCTTTTGCTGTTTGATGAAATTCATGATTAAGATAAAGTTATAAATTTTCACATATTAATTTACAAAAATGTTTATTACATTGGTTTTATGGAAAAGTAAAATAATGCACTTGTAATAAGTAAAAATTATTGGTACTCGTACACTGTCAACATTTTTTTTAAAACGCAACAACGTTAATATAATGTTACGTAATAAAATGAAATGTTTTTTTAAATAATTTGGAAAATAATAATAAAAAACAAAAAAAACACAAGATCGATGGTGTAGCCAAAAGTAAAAATATGTGAAAAAGTACACAGGTAATTTTTTTAAAAGATATTTCTAGTTGTAACTTGAAAATTATGTTGAATATTTAGTATTGCTACATATCATTAGTTTTACTGCAATTCACAATTCTTACAAAGTAAAATTCTGAGTGTTCACACCTGTTATAAATATTAATTTATAAAAATATTTATTACCTTGGTTTTGTAAACAAAAGTAAATTAAGACACAATTTTCTAGCGTTGACTTTAAATGTTACACTGATTTGTAATAAATACTAATTATTCACTCAAATATCATTTGAATAATAATAAAAAACGAGGAAAAAAACAAAATCAATTATTGTAGCCAAAACTAGAAATATGTAAAGACAGCATAAAGATTAAAAAGCGCCAACTTGAAAATTGCGCTACATATTTGATATTACTACATTTTATTGATCCTACACTTTGAGGGATTTTATGGCGAAGATAAACTTATAAATTTTCACATATTAATTTATAAAAATTTTAATTACCTTGGTTTTGTAGACAAAAGTAAAATAATATACATTTTCATCCAAAACTAGCGTTCGTTCACTTAACTAACGTTTAGTACCACTGACTTATGATAAATAAAAATTGTTGGTACTAGAACACAGTCCACTTTTATTTTTAAACAACTGATTATCTCCCACTCCATTTGATCAATCCCAAAGTCACCAGTTTTATTTGGAGGAGGAGCTTCCAGGAGTTTGCACACAAAGATAATTATAAACGCGCGAAAATTATAATCATATCAGTTTTAAAGATTGTAATTGTATTGTAGATTTTTTCATACATTTCTTTATTATATAAACAGATTTGATGACCTGCTTGCATTTGCGCATTATGGAGCGCCAATCACGTGTGGCTTAAACGGGAAGGGGGGTTTCACAAAAAATTACGAGATATCACCTGAGGAGAAGGGGGGGCTAATAAGGTATGACGAGTACTTATTTTTTAACAGAATTTATCCAACTTTTTTCCAGATACTAAAAATATACATGATGTTTGGAGGTAGAGGTGGAGAGGTTAAAAAAATCATTAGAAATGGATCACGTGATTAATGGACGGATCCTTATTATTACTCAGAAAAATAGCGATCAGAACTTTTGGGTCTTATAATCTGTTGTAATTTTATTTATTTACTAAAATGCTTCACTTTATCAGAAGACAACCCAAACGGTTGTCCTTATCTCTATGTGATGATTTTATTATTTATCATTAGCAAGACCGATTTTCTGGAGACAAAAACTTCTCATTCGGAAAGTTAGTAATGTAATCTGAAACGTCCAAGAAGAATATTTTTCAATCGGTACTCTTATATATTAGTTTTAGAAAAAAATGTTTGCAAGATATGAACTTTTGCATTTGTTGCGTCTAAACATGAAAATTGATGAAAGAATTATATAAAACTAACAATAAGAAAAAATACGGATCTTTAATTTTATGTTTTCTCGACGCTTCAAGTCATTCTGAATCATTTAGTATATGCATGTAAGCTTAATTCAGCGGTTTCCAACCTTTTTTTCCTTGCGCCCCCCTTTTGAAAGAAAAAAATATTGCGCCCCCCCCTAATTTTTTTAACAATTTAATTTAAATATACTTAATTGAAATTATGATTTATTCAATCTTGCACAATCCACATAATGCACAATATATGTATATTACAAAAAATAAACATACAAAATATACATACAAAAGTATACATACAAACATATACATACAAACATAACTATTGATTATAAGAAAAAATAATTTTAAATTAATAAAAACAAATGATATAATATTTCACTATTTAGTTTTACTATTTGTGAAGAAACAATTCCATTATTTTCACACCATCTTCTTCTGCTTCATAAATTTTCTTTTCATACCCAGTCACGTATTTATCCATTACAAACGGTTTTTTATAACAAATCAAAGAAAATCACTTTTTCACTACTTTCACAATAATCCTGGCTAATAATGTGCTAAAACTAAAGTTATAAATTTCAACTCAATAAAATTTAAAAATGATTTTTTCTAACGCGTGTATCTCCAGGACAACTAATGAATTCGATTTATAGATAACAGAATATAAAAGGATGCTTTTGTTTATTTACTTAAGTTAGTCTCGAGTAAGCATCGTGAATATTCGATATGATCCGAGTGCTTATCTTTTGTTTATAGGCCTACAGCTCACTCGGCTACAAACGCAAAAACGAAATATTTTGAATGCACCAAAAGTATAGTATGTATATTCATGCTGTTACATTTGTCCTGACAAAATTGCAGCGCGAAATTGTAGATTACTTGCATGTATTTTGCTGATTTGTTTTTGACACTTACTCACATTTAAAAACAATATTTTGAAAGAACTTTGCGCCCCCCCTTGGGACTGCCACCGCGCCCCCCCAGGGGGGCGCGCCCCACAGGTTGGAAATCGCTGG